CTCATAATCTGTTCTGTAACATAACAGAATCTGTTCTAAGAACAGAAATATATAATTATATTAGTTCATAAACTAAGTTTCATTTCCCCACTTTCACTGTAAGCTCCTCAGAGGCAAATGCCATGCTTCTGTTACTAACACGGTTCCAGGCTTGCATTTCTTAAAATATGTTCCACTGACTAGAGAGACTATCAGATAGTGTGTGGAAAAAGTACTCTCTGATCAAATAAATCAGGGAACTACTGGCCAACCCTTCTTTCAGCGAACACTGTGAATTCCCTTTAAATTTTCTTATCCCAGTGTTCCTTATGTTCATTTGGTCATGAAACTTTCCCTCTCTAGAGCAGCAAATTGCAACATTCTGCAGACAAATGAGAAAACACTGGGAGAGCAAAGGCCGTTGGTACTAGCTGAGGGAATAGACTTTTTAGGGAAACGTGTCTTATCCCAACAGAAAGTATACATTATGAGGCTTAAAATCATCACCTTCTCTCCCCTCCAGGTACTAAAAATTGCCCAGAGGCCTGCTCAGTGTTTAATCTGTGTAGTTAGCCACGTTGCTTAAGAAGACAGATGTGCAAGAGGAAACAGTACTCAGCGGCACTGGTTACTCGTCCTTTTCTAAACCGCTAGCTGGTGTGCGCTGGTTCCCTGGTTTCGGCTCTAAGACTTGTGAGAACCTGGTGTTTTCATAGCTACATGTACACTGACTAACTGCAGTGAGAAACTATGTAGATATGAAAAATAAATGAAGTAACTTTCCAAAGCAAACAGAAATCCCCTGGTGATAAGATTACCATTCCTCTCATTCATTAAATCACCTGCAAACCACAGACCCCTCTGCAAGACCAAATTGTCGATCCAAGTGTGAAGTATTTTCCAGATATTCCAGAAATGCCCCCAGCACCACATCAAAGAGACAGAGACACAGAGACAGACAGAGAGAGAATAAGCAAACCAGGATACCTGGCAAATTTTGAAGTATAATACATACTACACATGAATGGTTGGGTTTCCTACTGTTTTAAGAAATCATACTTCAATACATAGTATCATAGTATTATATCAATGTAACAGAGCTTTACAGGTTTTTTTGGTTTTTGTTTTTTTGCATCAAGGCGGTCATTCTTGGCCTCAGCCAACGAGCACCCTTATCTGAGGCTCTAAGTGAGAACATCTAAGTGACAGAATTTTACCCTCCCTGGCAGTGATGATTGTATCTGTGATTACCCACGGCACGTAGCAAATGCTGACATGTACCAAGCCTATAAATAAGTGTTGTGGAGAGTTTGGGGGGATATTGGAGGGGGAGACGAACCATGAGAGACTGTGGACTCTAGGAAACAAACAGAAGGTTTTGGAGGGGAGGGGCGGGGTGTTGGGGGAGCCTGGTGGTGGGTATTAAGGAGGGCACGGATGGCATGGAGCATTGGGTGGCGTGCATAAACAAGGAATCTTGGAGCACACATACAAAAAATAAAATTTTTAAATTAAAAAAAAGAAAAAGAAAATACAAACCACATAATGCTGCTCTGTTGATTTAAATCCATATAAAAGCATCTGTGATGACAATAGGACAACTCCATAACTGGATTACAAATCAAAACCTTTGGATAAGCATTTCAAAACTGAGATACAATCTCTTAAAAAACGATATCATATTTGATTAATGGAAAGAGGTAACCGATCTTCTTCTCATCTAGCAATACAACATCAAATGAAAATCTCACATAAATTTATTTATTCCCTATCTGTGCTTTAGCAAGAGACTGAAACAGCTGAGATGGTCTCAACCCTGCACAAGAAGCAGCTTCATGCTCATAAAGGGAAGACAGAGATTTTACATAGAAAACTAAAAGAAAATTGTAAATTTTCTGTGTAAATATTGCCTTTATTCACTTAAAATCTCTTTATCTTAAAAATTATCACTGAAGTATCATTGACATATAAGATTATTTCAGTTTTAGTTGTATAATATAATGAGTCAACATTTGTATACATTGTGAAATGATCACCACAATGAGTCTACTTAACATCTGTCACACACACAGTTAATTACTTTTTTCCTTGTGATGGGAACTCTTCTTCTTTTTTTTTTTTTTTTTAAGATCTTATTTATTTTAGAGAGAGAGAGAGAAAGAAAGAAAGACAGGAAGACTAAAGACTCAGACTTCATGGTGAGTGCAGAGCTTGACTCAGGGCTTTATCTCATGACCATGAGATCACGACTTGAGTTGAAACTCTGCTACCCAGGTGCCCCAATTGTGATGGAAACTCTTAAGATTTCCTTTCCTAGCATCTTTCAGATTTGTAGTATTACTGACTACTGACTTTGTTTCGTAACTGGAAGTTTGTACCTCTTGATCCCCTTCACCCATTTTGCCCACCAACCAAACCGTCCTCTCTAGCAACCACCAGTTTGTTCTTTGTATCTATGAACTTTGTTTTGTTTTCTCATTTTTTTAGATTTTTTTTCTTTTCTTTTTCTGTCAGACTTATTTCACTGAGCAAAATACACTCAGGGTCCATCCATGTTGTTGCAAATAAAATTTCATCCTTCTTTATGGCTGAGTAATATTCCTCTGTAGTTGCACACACACATACATATACACATACATACCACATCTTTATGTACTCATCTATGGATGGACACTTGGGTTATTTCCAGATCTTGGCTATTGTACATAATGCTGCAATGAACAGAGGGGTGTATATAGCTTTTCAAATTAGTGTTTTCATTTTCTCCAGATAAATGCACAGAAGCAGAACTGCTGGCCTTAATGACAGTTATATTTTTAATTTTTTGGAGAAACCCCATACTGTTTTCCACAGTAGCTGCCCCAATTTACACCACCACCAACAGTGCAAGCGGATCCCTTTTTGTCCACGTTCTTGCCAACGCTTCTTGTTTCTTGTCCTCTTGACACTAGCCATTCCAGCAGGTGTGAAGTGGCATCTCACGGCAGTTTTAACTGGCGTATCCCCCACAGTCAGCGATGCTGCGTATCTTTTCACATGTCTGTTGGCCATCGTACGTCTTCTTCGGAAAAATGTCTATTCAGATCCTCTGCCTGTTTTTTAAGTGGGTTGTTTGTGTTTTTGTTATTGAGTTGTAGGAGTTCTTTATATATTTTCAGTATTAACCCCTTATTGGATTTATCATTTGCAAATATCTTCTCCCATTCAGTACAGTGACTCTTCCCATTGTTGACAGCTTCCTCGGCTGTGTGGAAGCTTTTTAGTCTGATGTAGTCCCATCTGTGTATTTTGCTTCTGTTGCCACTCCGTTTGGAGTCAGATCCAAAAATTATATCACCAAGACTGATATCAAGGACATTACTGCTTGTTTCCTTCTACCAGTTTTATCGTTTCTGGCCTTACGGTCAGCTCTTTAACCTAATTTGAGTTAATTTTGGGGTATAGGGTAAGATACTGTCCAGTTTCTTTTTTTGTTTGTTTTTTGCATCTGGATGTCTGGTTTTCCCAAACCCCATTTATTGAAGAGACTGCCATTTCCCCATTGTATATTCTTGCCTCCTTTGTCATAAATTGACCGTATAGGTATGTGCCTATTTTTGGGTTTTCTTTTCTGTTCAGTTGATCTATGTGTCTGTTTTTATGCCAATACTATACAATTCTGATTACTAGAGCTTTGTAATATAGCCTGAAATCAGGGAGTGTGATGCCTCAAGCTTTACTCTTCTTTCTCAAAATTGCTTTGGCTCTTTGGGATTTTCTGTGGTTCCTCTACAAATTTTAGGATCATTTGTTCTAATTCTGTGAAAAACACCATTGGAATTTTGATAGGAATTGCATTCAATCTATAGATTGCTTTGGGTAATACAGACATTTTTAACAATATTAAATCTTCCAAATAATGAGAATGGAATAGCTTTCCATTTATTTGTATTATCTTCAATTTCTTTCATCAATGTCTTATAGGTTTTAGTGTACACAGCTTGCACGTTCTTTGTTAAACTTATTCCTGGGTATTTTATTCTTTTTGATGCAATCGTAAATGAGATTCCTTCCTTATCTTCTCCTCTGGATAATCTGTTGTTGGTGTGTAACAATGCGATGGATTTTTCTATTTTGATTTTGTACCTGAAAATTTATTGGTTCTAATAGTTTTGGGGGGAGTCTTCAGGGTTTTCTATATACAAAATATTATCCTCCACAAATACTGATAGTTTTACTTCTTCCTTTAGCATTTGGATGGCTTTTTAAAAAAATACTTTGGGGTTATTTGTTTTTGGTTATTTTGTTTTTTAAGAGAGGGAGGAAGGGAGAAAGGTGGGAGAAGGGGAAGAGGGAGACAGAGAACCTTAGGCAGGCTCCCTACCGAGCACTGAGCTTGATCCTAGGCTTGATCTCATGACCCTGAGATCATGACCTGAGATACAACCAAGAGTCAGACACTTAACCGACTGAGCTACCAAGTGCCCCTTAAATGTTAATTTAGAAATCTGAAGAATTTCAGACTCCTTTCAAAACAATTTGATACAAGGCTTCTCGACCAACAATAAAATGTTATACATGCATGTGTGTTTTGACCAAATATGTGAAAGAAGATCTCTGTTCCCAGGAAAGTTGATAAGCCACGACATCTTGGGCAAGTATACCAAGGCGGGGGCGGGGGGGGGGGGGGGGGAGGGTAGGGAAGAACTATTTCTCTTTTAACAATAACATGATCGATGTATCGATGCTCCTGGCTATCAAGTGCAAACAAGATGACCAAATTTGTTCCTGATGAAGGACCGCTATTCAAATAACCAATACACTACTCAGTAGCTAAATGTCTAATATATATAACTTTTTAAACAACAAAAGGATAAGACTGCTGGTAGAATTTTTCTTTTGCCACACTAAAAGAAAAAACGTAGTTTTACAAAGCTGTTAAAGATTTACTTTCTTAGAAAACATTGAAAAGTCTGTGTGTGTTTTTCTCATTAAAAAACCATTAGGTCATACAAACATGATTCTTAAAGATTACAAGTTACCTTTCAAGTCTTTCTTTAGTTTTCTGAGATCTTTTTGAAAATCTTCAAACTTCATCTGTGAGGCCTGAAAAAGGTCCTGGGGTTCTGGCAGTGGAAAAACGCACTGTTCTTTTCCAGCATCCTAATTAGCAAGAAACACACAATTTTAAAACGAACCAGCATTAATATAAATAAGAATGCAACAACAATGGCAATCGCGAAACAACAAATCCCACCCATCACTGAACAACAAAGAATAACAAAACTGAACTATACAGAAAAACGGTCTTACCTCATCAAAGTTTCGAAGATAATAGGAAACAATATATGACAAAAGGCTTCTGCTATTGTCCTAGGCAGAAAGACCAAAGTAAAAATACATTTTTTAAATCATGAAGTATACAGTGTCAAGTAAAATACTTTACAGTAAAACAATACATAAATGAGAACATTCGGAATAAAATGTGAAATTCTGTATTTCAAAGAACTCCAGCCCCTGCATCAAAGGAGTTTCGTGGCACAGAAGATCCTGTTTTTCCCAATGTTCTAATCTGAGCTCCAACGGGAAACACAGATGTTCAAGGGTGGAGCCTCCACTGTGAATACTTTATCGTTTTGCCCTCCTTGATCAGATAATTTGTTCATTAGTTGTCATGTTTTATTATTAAAAGGTATTAACTACATTTTAGCTGAAATGACCGAATATTGCCGGCATCACCATACCATTTCTGGACCAGCAGGTATCACTCCAACAGTAGGACTGATTGAAATGTGTTAGTTTAGAGATTAGGAAAAATCAAGTTAAGTATTATTTCAAGCAAGCAGAAGCTCTAAAAATGCAAATACATTTTACAAATTTCTATGTCAACCACTGAGATTGAGGAATTAATATCCTCAGAGCTACAAATAATGCAATGTATGTATTTCTACAGAAAAGGAAATGTAGGACTGTCCCTATACTAATAGTATTCAATGAATAGCTTTTCATCCCCTTTCTGGCATGCTTGGGGGAATTTTTAATGATTTCTCTTTTTTTGCATCACTTGAAATTAGTACTAGATAATTTGAATGTGGGAGAACAAATATACATTTTTTTTAAAAAACATTATGACACAAACTATATTCCCTGAAATGTTCAATCTTACCACTATTTTCCCTCTATCTGTAAAAAGCAATATCCCTTTATAATTTAATCTGACATGCTATGGTAATACACCTTTTAAAGACTTCCCTCGTGGTAATTTATAGTAATGATAATATAATAAATTATTATTATACCATGCAGTAATATATTACAATAATAAAATATTTATTAGAAAGAATATTTGCTTATGAATAATGTAAGCAACTTTTTTTTTCTCTTTCCTAACGTAAATCAATGAAATGGTTAACAGTACTTGAATTAGTTAACAAAACATTTATTAAATGCCTCCTGATAGGCATGCCAAGTAAAAATTCTGAGTGATCTAGCTCTGTCCATGCAGGTCTAGAAATAGTACTACAATGTAGACACATTTGTATTTGTTTTATAGAGAAAGAACCAAATCAGGAAGACTTTGCCTAGCTCTTATGAGAATGCAAGTGAAATTATAAAATAAAATCTTGCTTCCTGATTTTATCATGCCTTTTTATCTAAATTATTCCTTAGTTATTTAAATTTTAAAATTTAACTTACTGGGGGACTGAATAAGATGTATCAACCAATAAAAAAACAAATAATCCCTTATTCATATGTAATTAGAATTATCAGAATAGGTTTCTGATCCATTTTTATAAATTAAATATTATGTGATGCTATTTCTATTCCAGGGTTATTAGCAAATGTTACCTGTTTCAATCCAACAATCAGTTGTTCGGACTATTCAAGTGCTTAGAACAGAGCTTTTGCTTTTGAACCGATGTGATTTATCATGCTAACATAATGGAGGTTCCTGTGAAACTTGTTCCATACAAATATAATAGCATCTTTACAAATAGAACCAGAAAAATCAGAAAAACTACATGCTGCTGGTGTTCCAAGCCAGGATGATAACTTTATTCAATTTTGGAAAAGCAGTGTGGGAGATTTCACAGAATTCTGTGAAAGAACGGTAAACGAATGAGTACAGGTGTGAATGAATGAGCAAATGCGTTGTTGTCTAACACAAACAAACAAATGAAGTGTCTCTTTCTTATGTGGGAAATTACAGTTGACCCTTGAACATGGGTTTGAACTACATAGGTCCATTTACACACAGATATTTTTCAACAAATAAAGGACAGTACTGGAAATGTATTTTCTCTTCCTTATGACTTTCTTAACATTTTCTTTTCTCTAGATTACTTTATTGTAAGAATACTGTATATGTGACACATAACATAGGAAATAACTGTCAACTGACTAATGTTATTGGTGAGGCTTCCTATCAACAGTAGGTTATTAGTAGTTAAGTTTTGGGAGAGTCAAAAGCTACGTGTGGCTCTTCAACTGAGCAGGAGGTCAGTGCCGCTGCACCATTCCCGAGTCAACTATATTCATTATCTAGGAAGAACAATTCTAGTATTTCCATTTCTATGAGTCAGTCATTTACTTAGATTTATTATTTTTAAAAATGACCATAATTGCCTTTATTACATGGTTCTGTGTGGACATTCTTTTATCAGAGAAACAGAATTCTATCACTTTTTAAGTTCATGATCTCAGATATTAACCCTAACCATCATGGTTGTTTCCTTAATATTATATTTTTACTGACACTCTCATAATCTCTTCGATGTTAATTTTAAACAAATACAAGTATAGAAGTAGGATCAAAAATTAATTAGTCCTGCAAAAAGACCTGGACATTCCCACATATACCAGTGTGAAGGGGAAGACGATATGTAGAAAAGCTTCTTTTACATTTTACTTACACTCTACTTTCACCCATCTTTGTTTCATTTTTAAAACACAAGCCTGCTGGCCTCCATTACTTAACACAGAAGAGAAGAGGAACACTGTCTGATTTATGAAAAATAATTAGTCCTCAGACTCCCAAAGGATAAATATATGGTAATAATAGGGTGAAAAATAATAATTTTTATTTTAAAAGTCCTCTACTCGATTATTCATTAGACACAGGATTCAGAATTTTTCACTTTAGGTAACATTATTCACAAAACCATAAACATAAGATGGCCATATACTTTTTCCTAGCCCAGAACATAAAGACTTTGGAACATAAAGAAACATTTATTACAATAGGCTTAAAGTCAAACTTATTACTAAATAAAACATCTAATCATCAATTTGCCTACATTCGTTCATACAAAATACTTACGCTGCTTTTGACATCTTTCAGCTTTGGAAGAATGTCTAATCCGAAGCCATCCGCCTGTCCTCGAGTCTTATTCCCACCGTTCATGTAGTTGCCAAAAGCAAGAACCAAACCCAGGATCTGCATAACCCCTGGGCCATTTTTTAATGTCTGTAAAACAGAATAAAGAACATTTTCTCTCTCAAAGTCTTCTTTGGATTATCTTAAGTCAGTGGCATATTCTCATATTATACTAATCATCTTGGGTCACGTTCAAACTGTATCGTTGCTTGTCATTAGGATATTTTAAGAGCCGTGTTTCCAAAGTTAACTTTAAGCTATACCACCTACAAGCATTCAGGTACACATTTGTAAACTAAGAGATATCATTCTAGGCTATTTCTGGGATACAACTGCGTAGAAAACAACTAAGGCTATAATATGAGAATGACTACAAGATACTGTCATTGCCTTCGCCCTAACTGGACCCACCTCTGGTGCTAGAGAAATATTTGGCATCTGTTGTGGGAAACCAAAACACAGTGATAAAGATTAATTTCCAAATTTAGACTTATCCCCGACAAGTTCACACTCAACTTCTTCCAAAACACAAAGCTTAGCTGGAATTTGCATGTCTTCTTTCCCCTGAAACGTGTCTTTGATAACATCTTGTTAGCTTTCAAAATCACTGACCACAACCAGAACGAATGGTACTATTGATTTTTGACAAATTGCTCTAAATGGTAATATCGGTAACTTCTGCCAGGCATTTACTCTTTGTTTTCAGAAGAATATTTATCTCCTGTTGAGTCCTACAGCTGTTCCTAGATTATCTGGGGAGAATCATTAACAATTTGTTGAAGGCCCTTTCCAAAACTGAGGGAAAGTAAATAAAATGCCTTCAAATCACATCCAATCCAAAGTCTGATGCAGGAGAGGACTACAGGAAGTGACGAGTTTGTTTTGGCAAGAGCAGAAGGGACAGAAGGGATAGAAGGGACAGAAGCCACAGAGGCAGGAGCATGACAAGTGCCCTCCTGTAACAGGGCCCCTTGGTGGTAGGAGCCTCTCATTCTCTTCGATCTTGAAACCAGTCGTGGCATGTTCTCTTCCGTGGAACTGCTCTCCTGCAAGTGTACTCGTACTTAGAGTACATCAAAGAAAATGTTTTCGAAAATATGAACCTGACCGGACACAACGAAACGTCAGAACTCAATCGTCAGCATTCTGCGGCCCAGAACCCACCTCACACAATTTCTGCAGCAACTCCAGTTTGCGACGAATTGAGCAAATGCTTTCTGAAAACGTGGACTGGAACAGAATACAAAAGACTCGCTCTGAGAAGTTGGGGATTAAGGACAGTTCATAAAGGAACCTAAGGAAATAAAGCCAAGTGAAGAGGAAAAATATAATTCATATAAAGAGATGCTTATCCTCCTATCATTCAGAACAATTACGCCGGGAGACCACCGCGCTTCTGAACGGACAGGGGCCGCCTGGAGTCCGGCCGCCTTCTGCAAGGCCCTGAGCGTGCTTACTGTTCCGGTTTGTCCAGAGACTTGGCGCTCTCCTTGTCTTTGCAGGACCGGCCGTGCTTCTCAATTTTTTCCAGTTCATCTGACTGTGCTCTCTGGAAAAAAAAATAATGCCAAGCGGTTATCCAAAATCTGATGAAATAAATCCTGTAGATTATGATAATCTTAATCCAGCAAAACTCTCTATATTTTCATATTTCTTAGCATCTGTTTGCCATAAAGCTTGACTTCATTCATGAAGGCATTTTAAAGTGTAAATACGTTTAATGCAAACCAGAGCACCTCGAAATCTTCCAAATAATGTTACTGGAAATTAGTGATCTGCAGAACATTTATTTATTCAAGCACACTTTAAAACAAGACGGTTTTCCTCTCTGGCTTTTTGGCTGTTGGTAATATGCTTTAGAATACAAGAATTTCATTTTAAAAATGGTATGCCTGGGGCGCCTGGGTGGCTCAGTGGGTTAAGCCGCTGCCTTCAGCTCAGGTCATGATCTCAGGGTCCTGGGATCAAGTCCCACATCGGGCTCTCTGCTCAGCAGGGAGCCTGCTTCCCTCTCTCTCTCTCTCTGCCTGCCTCTCTGTCTACTTGTGATCTCTGTCAAATAAATAAATAAAAATCTTTAATAAAAAAAAAATTTAAAAATGGTATGCCTTACTTAGAAATCAATCAAGTTAAATTTGGAAGTAATGTGACCCTAATGTTATAAGATTTTTAAAGCAAAATAAGTACTTATATAACTAATACAATCATTGTTTATGACTTTTCTTTTTCTTAGGGGAAAAATACAATTGAATTATTTAGTCCTAGGACAAAAATAAAAGGTTTTGATTCTTCTGCTGAATTTTCTTTTTGACACAAAAATGGCTTCAGGCGTCTTTTCTTCCAAAGTATCTTCTTTTACCCTTCATCCTAAATTTCTTTCTTTGTAGGAGAGTTTCTTCTGCATTTTCAATATATGGGAGAAGATTTTATAGACATTGAGAAACACAAATCTATTCTTTATGAAAATTTGGATGCTTTTTATGTGTACTCTTGTCTTTATTTTATAACTCAGGAAGATGTTTCAAAATAGCCAAACACAATAATTTCTACGCATTAAGAAGTGGGAGTAGACTACCATACCTTGAGTTTGAGTCTAATCCTCAGAACTTAAATTCCCTTCACATTATTTTTTGTTTAAACATTAAAGCAATTTTGCTAAGAACTACTGTATAAGATAAAACATGACAGCCATTTATAGAAACTAAAGATTTCATCTGAAAAATAGCTATGTAATGTTTTTTATTCACTGATTATTTTGAAATGCAGGTTTTCAGGTGACAGGATTGACTAACAAAGACTAGTTCCAAAGCTGCTTTTTTGTTTGAAGACAGACAGGTCCACACCAAGATGCACCACATAAAGGCTTCCAGTCCCTATAATCTCTCTATTCTTTTAAAAGGAGGGGTGTCTAGATGTCTCAGTGGGTTAAGCCTCTGCCTTTGGCTCAGGTTGTAATCTCAGAATCCTGGGATGGAGCCCTGCATCGGGCGCTCTGCTCAGCAGGGAGCCTGCTTCCCTTCCTCTCTCTCTGCCTGCCTCTCTGCCTACTTGTGATCTCTATCTGTCAAATAAATAAATAAAATCTTAAAAAAAAAAAAAAGAAGGAATGAGAAGTACTACTACAGCAGAAATTAGTCTGCTATCTTCAAGCCCAACCACATTCAATACTCAAACCTCAACAGGGGGCACAAATCCACCTTGCTACAATCTAATGTAGTCATTATGTTTGTTGGTTTAGTTTTTGTTTTTTGAACTTGACATAGACTCAACCTACATGACTAGAAGCTGACTCCATGGGCTCCATAAATTTCCCTGGGTCTTAAATAAACACACACAAAATCTCAAGAAACAATGACAAGAGAAATAAAGATGGCTAAGGTAAATCATAATAATAATTGAATACACAAGAGAAAGATAAAACTCCCCAATGTCTTGAGGACAAAGGGACTTTCTTGCAATACTAGAGAGTTATTTTCCAAATTATTCAGTACGCATAAATCATTAATTGCACAGTTCTTTATACTTGTGCTCTATTAAACCATTTCTGCTGACTTTAGAAAGAAAGCTGCCCTGGGTTGACAGGGCTGCTTTATGGATGAAAAAGAGAACAAAATGCCATTCGATGCCTTAGGGACCTGGGCCCCCGGGCTCTCTAAACAATAGAAATTGATCAGAGGCCAAACAGGAGTTGAAGGCAAGGCTTTACTTGGGCTTCTCCAGAAGCACAAAGGAGATAACACAAAAGGAAAATCTTCCTCAGACTGAGTCCAGGAGGAGAGGGGGTCAGGGAGTTTTTTAAATTAACCTAGCTGGGAAAAAAGGGGCCATCTGAGCATACAGGGGCGGGACTTATGAACACCTGAGCACCTGAAGGTCATGCTTCTTCATATCCTGCATCTCTAACACACATGTTAAATCTCCACCCTGGGCATGATTTTTAGTATTATAATGAAGAGAAAAGTTGTGAAAGGTTCATGCGGGGGTCCATCTGGGCACAGACTGGTTTGGTCTGGTCTTTACCAGTCTATGGCAAGCATCCCCTGTCCATAGTCTTGCAAGATGTGGTAATCAAGAGGCACAGACTTTGAGCTCCCTCCCCCAGCCTCCCCCCACTTATGGAGGCAGCCAAGGAGCACTGGAGGGGACTGGAGTCCAGTCCCTAGTTTGTCTCATATCCCTGATCCATAAGCCCCCTTCTTCTTCCAAATACTTGCATATGTATTTTTATGGCATTAAAAATAAAATCAATATTGGGGGCACCTGGGTGGCTCAGTAGGTTAAGCATCCGACTCTTGATTTCTGCTCAGGTCATGATCTCAGGGTCATGGGATCGAGCCCTGCGATGGGCTCCCCACTCAGCAGGGAGTCTGATTGAGATTCTGTCTTTCCCTCTCCTTCCACACTTCCCCCTGGCTTGTGCTCTCTAATAAAGAAATCTTAAAAAATAAAATAAAATCAATTTTTAAAAAATCACTATCCACGTTATCAAAAGTCTTTAAATACAATGAACCTACCAAGCTTATGGTGGTAGACATAAAATTTTCAAAAACTCTTACTTCAGAGTTTGACTTTTATTGTTGGCAACAAACATCAACTGTTTTCCTTGAAGGGACCACTTACTCAGCTCTTTTTCAAGAAAACGTCTACTGAATGCCAGTGTATTAATAACCCCAGTTTGCCAGTCAGATTTTCAAAGAGAAATGATATCCAATGAAAAAGGGCTACCTTAATTCATGACAAGTGCTTTTTATAGCAAAGTAACTACTGTACTTTGCCAGGCAGCAGAAACACCTTATGAAAGAGATATACTCAAGAGTTGAGGTTTAATAAATGTAATAATTTTCACTGTTCACGAGGTGCCTGGGTGGCTCAGTCATTAAGCCATGTGCCTTCAGTTGAAGTCATGATCCCAGGCTCCTAGGATCAAGCCCCGCTTCGGGCTCCCTGCACGAGGGGAAGCCTGCTTTCCCTCTCCCACTCCCCATTTGTGTTCCTGCTCTCGCTGTCTCAGTCAAATAAATAAAATCTTAAAAAATAATAATAATAATTTTCACTGTTCATTAATGACACTCTTAAATAAATGTGGCTTTTTTTCCCCCTGCAACTGAAGAATTAGAATGACCAGTACGTGTGGTGCCACTGCCTTGACTGAGGGGGCAGTGCCAGAATGCCTGCCCTTCACTCCTACTGAACCATCAGTGCAAACATTACACTGTCAAGAAAGCCAGTAACAGCTTAGTGCTGTTATGAAATTCATTTTTAACGTGCAGACCTCCTTGCAAAGAAGTACAGAACCCCTGGGTACCCATGGAGCCAACTCTGGGAACTGACATTTGGTGAAAACTTCCTACCCAACTGATGATTAAATTATCTTCAACATACACCATATTCAAACACCTCCAGTGACAAAAATTCACTGTCATCTTAAACTGATCGCTATATCGTTAAAAACACCATCCCAAAACAAAATAAGACAAACAAACCAACGAGCTTCTTTATATGAAACAAAAATATTTCCTCTACTTTCAGACACTGGCCCTTGGTCTACTCTCTGGGGTCAATGGCAAGTTCCTTTCAAATATTTGGGAAAAGTAAAATTTTCCTCTTTTGTCTTCTGTGCTAAGCACTTTGGTTCTTTTCATTTTATATGGGATGAATGTGAGCCTATCACAATCACAGGTCCTGCGTGAGTAAGTTCCTGATGGCTTAGAAATGAGGCACACATAACAGTGTCACGTCCCTCCCCCACTATAGTCTGCAGCTCAACTCCATCATTCTAGAAAGGCTGTGCTGTTAGTGTCAGCTGAAATGGAGGACAATATCTAGAGGAGCCCCAAACCCTCTCAAGTTATCAGTTGTCTAAAACCTTTGAATTATTTTTCATGTTTACAGGCTTATTCTCTTTCTCCTATTCTGTATTTATGAAATTGATTATTTTGGACTCAAGCCTAACAACACATTTGGGTTTTTTTTCTATAAACAGTCAATGATTCTAAGATTTTATAGCTTGAGATCCTAATTCTGTTATTCTTTGAGTTAGGGTAACATGACAGAGCTTCAAAAAGAAGAGGAGATAAGACCTGTGTTTTGAGGAATACGCTGGTTCTAGATAGATGGAGAGCTAATCTCATTGACTGGCTTCTAAATTTGCTCTGCTTCTTATAACCCCCATCACTGTTGAAGACACAGGCATCCACCGGATAACTCAGACTGTCACACCAGATCTTCTACCTGGAATACGCATCATTCACTTCGGGCTGCTGCTCTTGGCTTGGCTTATGAATGACTTCCTCTGGAAAGCCTGCCTCAACTGCCTGGCTCTCCATTATAATCATTCTCTTTCCAAAATGATAACACAGAAACTTACATTTGCTTTGTCTTACGCTGTGCTTACCACAGCATCTTATTGTTGATAAAAATATATGCTTGCGTGTTCTACTGATTGGAATGTCTTGAGAAGGGCCATGTCTCAGGTATCTCTACGGTCCTAGTAACCAGTATGGCTTATCGTATATAGTGAATAGTAAATAATTTTTTTTAAACACTGAA